GAGTTGCCCCAATAGAACCCTTGCTTTTGGTTTGAATCAGTACAAATTCGTTCTATTATATAAAAAAAAAAAAGAAGTATACATATTCATTTTCTTCCGAACTAAATAAACCACCATCACACTTTGTGAGTGGTCCCAACAGTATCCTTGCCGTTGGTCTAAATCGGGTCAAATCGGTTCTAATAATTATTTTATATTCAATCAAGTAAACCACCATCACACTTTGTGAGTGGCCCCAACAGCATCCTTGCTGTTGGTTTAAATCGGTTCAAACCGCTTATAATTAATTATTTTGGTCATTGATAAAATAAAATAAACCATCATCACACTTTGTGAGGGGCCCCAACAGTATCCTTATTGTTGGTTTAAATCGGTATACACACATCTAATAATGATCTACATCTCTAGACAGCCGGCTGTTTAGAGCATAAATCGAAAACACTTATAAATAACTACACAAAACAAAAGATCGCATCACTTATCAAGGTGAATCCTGATCCAACGAACCTAACCCACTAACAAAACCTCCTTCCTGTGACTTTTGTGGGATGCAGAGGTAAACACGGTCCCAAAACAACAAAAGTCACACACTAACATTCCTTCCCTCTCCCACCTGATTGCAAGGACGTGGCCGGTGACGTTATTGATCTTTAAAGGTAGGAGTCACTGGAACATGTACACTGAGAATGGCAGGTTACTACCAAGCCCCATTCAGTTGATTCTTTGTACAATTTCACTGGTTCAGATCAATCACGGAGTGCAACTATCGATACGTGCAGTCAGACTAAGCTAAGCTAAGCTAGAACTTTTCTTAAGTAGTTTGACGTTGAGGTTGGGTGATAATAACTCAAAAATTGGAGCATTGTTTACATGAGAGCGAATGGTAACTACTTATGGTCATGAAGTCCCACATGCAACCTTAAGATTGGCTAATTTTTCTTTACCTAATGGTGATGTTAGTTAACGTGCGGGCAGATACTCAACTAACAATTTTTGTAATATACAAAAATGCTTTGCTAAATCATTTATACAGCTTCAAGCTGTATTCAACGCTATACAATATGAGCCTTACAAGCTACCGACGCCAGGTAGGCAGCTCCCACACCTGGACCCTACCTATCGACCCATCAACTCATTTAGCGGGGGTCAACGGCTCTACTTCTCCGAATGAATACGTGATCAGAATGCAAATTTTCATTAGGTGCTCTCAAAGTGAAAAATTATTGCAAATTAAAAAAAAAAATTATTGAGTTGGCCGAATTTCGTACATATTTTTACATAGTGCATATCAGAAAAATTCAGGCCAGTTCCACTCATTTTAGGAAAATTGCAGGAACTTTACGATTCTCTGAGATATTCAGAGAAGTTCAGAGCTCTTAAGAACAATCCTTCAGAGATGTTCCAAGAACTTTTTTCGAAACATTCAGAACAGTTTCAAAAATCGGGAACTACAAGAAAGTTCTGAGCTTTGAGGAAGTTTAAAGATCTTTAAGGGAAAGTTCCAAGAACTTTAGGGCAGTTTCATGAACTTCAGAAAATAAATCGCGAACTTTGATGAAGATCAATTAATTTCACTACACTCTATTTAAATAATTCTCAACTTTGCGCGGTGGCGATATCGTAACCAATGAGGTACAACCGGTGTGCGATTATTGCTAGTTGAAAACTATTTAAATAATTCTACATGAACTTCAATAAGCTCCAGAAAACTTTAAGTATGTTCAAAGATCTTTTGGCAAGACCAGACAGCTTCAGAGCAGTTCCATGAACATCTATAAAATTGCGGGAACCTAACGAAAACTTCTGGAAAATTTCGAGAACTCTCACTCCAACCATTACTTTGATCTATTATGATATTCCGGAACATTTAATTAAAATTCAGAAAAAAAATATGTATTTATATATGTATTATTTTTACAGTAACATTAGAAATATTCCAAGAATAAAGTTCATCGTAAACGAACAGCGGGAACTTTAATGAAGTTCCGGGAATTTCAGAAAATATTGAAAGCATTATATAAGACAATTAATGGCTTAACATTAATGAACACCACAAGAAATGCGAGAACCTTCAAACAGTTTAATGAAAATTCCAAGAATTGCAATGAAGTTCCGAAAACATCAGTTTAGATCCAAGAACTTAAAGAACATTCAAAACTACGGGGAAGTTTAAAGATCTTTTAGGGTTGGTTGCGATAGTTTAAGGGAAGTTTCATAGGTTTTGGAAAAATTTCAAGAACATCAACGAAAATCAAAGAGCCCCATTGGGGTCATATTAACTAAACAAATTGAAACTTTAGTTGAGTTTAAAATTTTCTAAGGGAAGTTACGTGACCTCTTGGGTTGTTCTGAGAACTTAGGACAGTTTCATGAAGTTCCTATAACTACTGGTTAATTTCGAGAACTTTAGGTCAGTTCCATAAAATTTATGAAAGAGCGAGAACATTCTAGTAGTTCCAAAAACTAAAGATTGTCCAAGGAACATCAGGGAAGTTAAGAGAACTTAAGAAACATTTCGGAAACTTCACAGAAGATTCGAAAAATTCACGGAAATTCTGAAAACGTCGTGAAGCAAAGATCTTTAAGACAGTTTTATTAATTTCCAAACGAAGAGACGAACCAGCCAAGCACTGAAAGTCTCTATAATTAAGAAAATACAAGTAATAATTTTACCGTAATTCAATACACACCACCATAAGAGCAGCGAAAACTTCAGGGTGGTCCACAAAAATTGCAGGAACTTTAAAAAGGGATTTCGTAGAAGTTTTATGAATTGTCTGTGGGATAATAAGAGAAACTCAGAGAAATTCTACAAAATTCCGGGCGCTTCAGGGAAGCCTCGAGGCGGTTCCATCAGCTTCAGGGAAATTGTAAAAACTTTTACGAGTTTTTAGGGAGTCAAGATAACTTCAGGAAAATCCAGACAACTTGAGGAAAATCGTAAAATCTTTAAAGAAATCGAAATTCTGGGCACCCTAATGTGTTTGTTATTCAATATGTTGTTACAAGAGTGGTTGGTTGTGTAGAAGCCATCAAATGAAAAATATACGGCCTCTACACGTCATTTCCATTTCAAAAATACCCATATTGCAGGGTATTTGACAATTTTTCAAGAACCAGACACTGCCATCTTGAATTTTTAAATGACGGCGCGGCAATCATTGATTTCTGGCCTCTACAATTCCCATTTCTAAAATATCCTAAATGGAGCCACAAAAATAAAAGTTATAATTTTCCGCGGGCCAACCTCTAGATTTGTGCCATTAGTTGAGAAAACCATTCTCTGAAAGTTTCAGCTCATTTGATTGTAAGATGAACTGGCTGTATGGGGAATTTGGATAAAATACATGAAAAAAAATGACACTCCTACATCCCATCGATCATAAAAACAGTTTCCTTATTCTCAATTTGATTCAGAAACTTGTAGTTCAGTTAATGAGTAACAACTGTGCTGGAGATTGCTTCATGAATCCCTTTATTTTGATTGAGATATTTGCTTTTGAATGAATATGAGCGTTTTGTATATGAAAATTTCAACCAAATCTCCTATATGAAGATTAAACCAAAAGTGCCAGCCCGTGCAATGTCAAAAAAGCTGAAACATTCAGAGAGTGGTTATCGCACCAAAGACAAAGACAAGTGTTAATCTAGTTGATACGTTGCATAAGATGCCTGTATTTTGTTGCAATATACGAACAGAATACACATCATAAATTATTATCTCTATAATACTAAATTGAATCGTGATGCTGTGTTCAACAAAGTTGTTCCTTATAGTTTAAGCTACTTGTGCTGAAATTCTGAGCCTTATCGTGTTTGCTGAACCAGTTTTATGCACGAAAGAGTGAAGGAATATTATTTATGCATACATTTCAACCAATATCTCCATATCAATTTTAAATCAAAAGCGCCAGCTCGTGCTACAACCATAGAGGTAACTCTAAGACTAGAAGGTCCCGAAATAACATGCGCAACTTTTTGGCTCAGCTCTGGTACTCTCTTCGGTCCCAAGCTAATCGATACACCCCTCGAAACATAGGAAAATCCACTAACCCCTCATTTCATCTGTCAAACTTTCATAGCGAAAGATGGAGGCGAACCAGCCCCAGGCTGAAAGCCTCCCTAATAAAGATAAATCAATCAATCAATTTCATAGCGAATCAAAACAAACATTGCGTAGTACTAGAATTTCGACTAGAATAGGGTACGTTAATCGATTTGCTTGGGACCAATAGGCTAGTCAAGTAGTGAGCCAATTTAAAATCGTTAGTTTCGTATTGATTGTTGCTACAACCGAATGAGCTGAAATTTTTATAGAGTTGTTTTCTCATCAAATGGCACAAATCTAGAAGTTTCCCGTTGAAAAAAAAAAATACAAAAATATTCCCCCATATAAATTTGGGCCAGTCTAATATTGTAGGTTATTTGACAGTTTTTAGAAAATCGAAAGCCGCCGATTCCAAAATGGCAATACAAACCTGCATTAAACCACATAACTCTAATGTGCATTTCAGTACTTTAAACTTTAAAGTACACTACATTATATTTGCCATTTGAGTTAATTATTTTCAACTCTCCAAACACGAAAAAGAAGATGAAGCAGCACCGGACAAAGTTTCGCCACAGACAAACAGACGTAACACTTCATTGTGTATCTTCGTTCATGCATTTAACGGTTGATTTGAATATTATCAGTTCCGCGAACTACTCGCCGCAGCGCTGGCATCGGATCACTTTGACGTTTCTATACATGCTATAGAACTTTTATGCAATATTGTTTGCGAGCTAGCGAGCAAGTTTGTTTTCCGCGAGAAGCCCGAGAGATGTCGTTACTGAGGTCATATGTTTTGAGATACTATGTTTTCAAGAAAAACTTTTTCAAAGAGTTACGTCTGTTTGTCTGTGGTTTCGCGTTTTATGTATAGATATAGATATAGACATGGATACATACGAATAAAATACAACAACCTGAAATAATTCAAGATATAATTTAATTTCAGCATTATTCCGAGACCGTCGAAAAGTGTGCAACTATTACGAATGGAAGTGTGACAGCGGTCAATGCATCGAGTCCCATCAACTGTGTGACGGGGTGATCGACTGTAAGGACAAGTCCGACGAAACCTCAAAAACGTGTGCCTTCATCCGATGTCCGAGCTATGCCTTCCGTTGCCAGTACGGTGGCTGCGTCGATGGCAACGCCATGTGCAACGGGATTAAGGAGTGTGCCGACAGCTCCGACGAACATCTGCACTGTCCCGGATACAGCGAGATGTTGTTCGCTTCCGGTAATTGTTCGTAAGTTTTCCTGAAATGATTGGAAATAATTTATGTTTCGATTTAAAAAAAAAAAAAAAACAATCTTCGTTTAAGGAATACCGAGTTCCAGTGTCAATCCGGACAATGCATCCCAAGCGACGGGGTTTGTGATGGTCTATCGAACTGCAACGATGAATCGGACGAACAGCAGAAAATTTGCAGTCTGATCTTCTGTCCATCGTTTTCGTTCCGCTGCAGCTACGGAGCCTGCATCGGTGGTTACTCTAAGTGTGATGGGATCCTGGACTGCCGCGATGGATCGGATGAGGATGAACTGCTTTGTGGTAAACCGTTTCCGGCAACTACGCCCAGGATTATGAGTTCTACGACGACCACCACAACATCGACAACTCCGCCACCGACGATCAGTGGACCTCCAGGTTCCTGTGCAGTTCCTACGCAACCACTAAACGGTCAAATTGTACTAGATGAATCAGCTCAGGATATTCCAATCGGCAGTGGCGAGTTTATCGAAAACTTCAATTCTGTCTTCGTTGCGTGCAATGAAAAGTATACTATTAAGGGAATCGCAACCATAACCTGTCTCGATGGAGAATGGTTGGATCCATTTCCGATTTGTGAGCGTAAGCTACCTGCAACGATAATTTTTCTAAGAACATTAGTATTACTTATCCCTAATTTTCAGGCTACTGCTCGGAAATTCCAATCAACGGAATAACCGTTCAACCAATTTGTGAATACCAACGGAAGCAAATTACCTGCAAGCGACCGCTTCCTCCAACGGCCAGAGTGCGAATTGATTGCAAAATTGGATACCAAAAGCCATTAGGACCGCTGAACGAAACGCTCACTTGCGAAAACGGTAACTGGGACACTTCGGTTTTTCGATGCGAGCCCATCTGTGGAACACCAACACCGGACGCCGAAGCCTACATCATTGGAGGCAGGAGCGCTCCCATAACGGATGTTCCATGGCATACCGGAATCTACCGGAACTTGGAAAACGACACCTTTGATAATTTTAAATCGGAAGATTGGCACTACATCTGTGGTGGCACGATTCTAACGGAACGCTTGGTGGTTTCAGCGGCGCACTGTTTCTGGGACGTTACGTCGTTCTACGATCTTCGTTCGTTTGCTGTGACGGCCGGGAAGTATCGGCGAATGTTGGATGCGGTCGAGTCCCTCCCGTCACAAGTCTTGCGAATTAGAGAGCTCATCACTCAACCCCAGTATCAAGATTTTTCCGGATATTACAATCTGGACATCGCCATAATAGTGCTGAGCGATTTCATTGTGTTCAAATCGTACGTTAAGCCAATATGCTTGGAGAGAAATCTAAGAACTGAAAGTGAAAAGCGGATCAAACCGAATAGCGTAGGACGGGTGGCAGGTTGGGGATTGACCCTTTCTGGAGGAGAGCTGAGTCCCAATTTGAAAGTGGTGGACATTCCTACTGTGGATTACTACACGTGCCGGAATTTTTCACCTGTTTCGTATAGACCGTTCTTGACCGGGGACAAGTTCTGCGCGGGAGAACCCACGACCGGTAATTTCAGTTCCCACAGTTACCATACACTGACAAATGGGTTCTTTAGGGGTATTGAGGAAAATACATATTCGTAATCTGCATTAAAAATGGAACCGAAATCCAAATGTCATCAATTTTTGTGCACTGGAACTATTTAAAATAAGTGCTTTTACGTTAGTAAAAAAGCACCATCATAGTGCCCCTCGATGGTAGTGAGCTGTAAATTTGTTAGTTTAGTGTCAAGTAATGAAGTTACTATTTTGCTTTAAAACTTGATTTAAATATCGAGATGAAAGCCTATGCGATCGTAAAACATATCATTGTGCTCAGAAAACGAAACACTTTCGGATGATGCATAGTAACCGATATATTTTCAAACTTTAAGAACCCAATTGTTATCATTCTACAATATATGAACCGCAAACTATGTATCATTCTAGGAACGAGCGTCTGCCAAGGGGACAGCGGTGGAGGCTTTGCACTTCCGAAGGAAATTTCCGGTGAAACCGTCTACTTCCTGTACGGTATCGTCAGCTCGGCACCTCGTTCGGCCAGTGGAAGCTGTGACAATAGCAAATACGTTGCATTTACCGAGGTACAAAACTACATTCCCATGATCCTGGACGCTGAAAGTCGGTTTCCGGTAATATAGAACAAACAGATGGATCAATAAATATTCCCTACATAGTAATATAAGGTTGTTTGAGTTTTCGTTTCAATTTATTATTTACTTCATCATTGGAATGTACTCAACGGAAATCAAAAATCTCTTACTCCATCTTATATTTGATTCCACTCAGGTTCCATTAATTTTGGTTTCATCAATATAATCACAAAAAGCATCACGATAATGTAAATTGTTCTCATCACTTCGGCGCTGATTTTGTTAATTTTTTGCTCTATTTACTAAGCCTTACACTTAAAATAATTCAAGACCAGAATTCAGAAAATTTTAAAATTCATATTAACTTTTCATAATCGTGAATCGTGCTTAAGGTAATTAAAGAATACTAAAACGACTAACCCTAGAAATCTTAAATTAGTTGAGGAGATTGGAGCACAGGAAAACAATCAAAGGCAGTTAGGCATTGCATATTCGTTCTTCTGAAGAATACAATCTTTGAAAGATTTGAAAGCTGTGAAAGTGCATCTACTCGATGAAATCAGAAAATTTATAGACAATTCACTCGTTTAATCTTAAACTACAGCTGGCGTGACACAGGTTGAAGCGATAGAGGATTTTCCACGAAGTTCATGGAGTTTGTCGTTATAAGCATCTGTTAGTACAATTAATCTATTACAGTAAATCGAATGTATCGAATATAAGTTCTGGATTTGGTCTCCCGTCGCCATTCACCATGTAGCCGTTTGAACTGTCTGTGAACTGTTGTTCTATCGAGGTTTCACTGGATTAAGTCTTGTTTGCGGTTTAGCTGTGTGATTTTAGCTGTTGGCGGTGACAGTCGAAGAATCTTTTGTTAGTTGTATTTTTTTGCTAGCCCTCAGGGTTGAGATTGTTAGTATCCGGACAGATCGGAAAAGGTTAGATCCAATTCGGCAGCGATTGCTTTGTACTTTGATTTCTCCTTGTTGACGTCGTCTGGAATGGGCGTGAAAAAGCAATGGAAAAGGGTGAAGTTTTTAGTTGATGTTAGTTATTATGCATGCTTAATGAGGAAAATATTATGAACAGTTAAAATTTGCTGTTTCTAATTGTTATACTTGGAATTGCAAAAAAAAAATCCGGTTGATTTCGTCTAGACACAAGATGAGACCCACTCTACACAGCAAAAAAAATATTTTGATATCACATCAAAGTGGATGCACTTCAATCGTATCAAAAATATCGTGTAATATTACTTGCCAAAAAGGACAAAATTATCATTAATACAGTGTATGAACTGACATTACGCTGCTTTTATAGCATTTGTTTATTTTTGTGGCCATAAAAATTACATGAGATTTTCGACATGAATTTAGTGCATCCTCTTGGATGTAATATTAAATTTTTTTTTTTGCTTGGTAGCGCAGTTAGATTTGCATTAGGTGATAGCGTGAACTCCTTAGGAAGCGTAGGAACGTTAGTTTAGTTCAAAAGCTACCAAATAAAGTATATAAGAACGCTTTAATATGAATACATACATCCATTTTTCTAAAAAAATATCATAGCTTCAGTACCGGTCGTACCTTTTTTAATTAACTTGGTTTGTATAAACCTTGAAATGCATATCCCTGAGTAGTTTTAAACTTTGATACCTCCACCTGAACGAGGGCATAACTTGTGTGTTTGGACATTGTTATTTCTTCTAACAACGAGACAAGACGCACATGCCTACTCAGTAAAGTCAACAATTAATACGAAACTAAAGATTTTAAATTAGCTCATTACTTAACTAGCCCATTGGTCCCAAGTACATAGATTAGCGTACCCCATTATCGTACTAGAATCTGTAAAAGTTTGTATTTGTTTAGATTCGCAGAAATAACCTGACAGAACAAACTAGGGGTTCGTGGATTTTGCTATGTTTCGAGGGGTGATTCAATTTTTTTTGGTTCCAAGGTCTGGAACTTAACAAGTTAGATTTTGAGAACCGTGACTGAGTACTGCTAGGAAACCGGTCAATCGACAGCAAAGGGATTAATAACTTTCGAAATGTCACTTTTAACCACGAGTTAAATTCAGCTCGACTAATGATTCACAGCCTTAGTAAGTAGAACGGGAAGGGTTAACTATTCCATTTCCGGCCTATTAAGCACAACCCGCACTTAGTCTTTCTTAATCTAGCGTAGTTTAGCACCAAACAGAATGTTATTATTACTGATGGATTCTAAATATATTTGCCTTTCTGTACGTACCGTAAGATTTGATCAAAAGAAACAAATTGTTGAGATATTGTTAAAAGTCTAACACTGCTTCTTGACGCCAAATTCGGTCTACGGATTCTAAAGTCGGCCTAAGACATTGAAACGCCAATTGAATTCACTTCAGCCTAATATCGGATGAAGATAAAGATTGATTCGGTCGGAGCGCTTCAGCAAAGCGTAGCTAATGTCAGTTTTAATACACAGGTCGACCAATCATTCAAGGCTTAAGGCTCGTCGATTCCTATTAACATGGTGAGAATGTGATTGTATGACAAAAGGTAGAATGATAAAACGCCAAATGAAAAAAGGTCGAAAGGACATAAGGTTGAAGGTACAAAAGGTCAAATGATGAGGGAGACAAAAGGTAGAATGGCGGTACGTTTTGTTGTGAAGCGCACTTGGCCAGATGGCAAATAGTAGAAAGAATACTTTCCAGACTTAAGACACCATTACGTTGAGTAGTAAACCGTTACTAATCATCCAAATCGATACATTTTTTGGTTATATTCAAGAACGAGCAGTGATGAAATGAAGGAAAAATATTTATTTTCTTGTTCGGTAATTTTATACTTAAAATATTCGGTAAGTGAAGAATGTTACAGATTTTTTAGTAAACAAATAATAATCATTCGGTAATCATTGCACGATAAAGAAAGAGATATAGTCAGTCGTTGCTCCAGAAGAACACGATCGCAGACTAAATGCCCTTCTCTCTCGTCTACAAGAATACGGAATTCCACTGAACAAAGATAAATGTGTTTTAGATGTTCTTCAGCTCGAATTTCTAGGTCATGAGATGTCTAGTTTGGGTATCCGGCCGATAGGAAGTAGAATGGCGGCCATCAAAACATTTCGGCTTCGGTGCAATGTTTCAGAACTAGGTAGCTTCGTCGGGCTAATATCATATTTTGGAAGATTTCTACCATCTTTGGTAGATAAAACAGAGCCACTTCGGAGTCTACTTCGCGTTGGGGAAAAAATGACTGGCAACCAACTTATACCAACACAAGCGTTGAAAGAGATCAAGTCTACTATGAGTGGAACCTAAAGTCATCTAAGGCTCTGAACCGTTTGGTCGCTTTTTTAAACTTTTGGTTAAAATTAGACAGATGGAAAGTTATCGATTAACCCTGCTATCCGAGCGTGGTTATTTCTGACACACAAGAAGTTAAATTTTGATAACCGTGACTGAGTTCTTCTCATACACCGGTCGATCGATAGCACAGGGATTTTTGAACATAGAAAATAACTTTCGAAATGTCACTTTTTACCACGAGTTAAATTTAACTCGGCAATTAGTTCACAGCCTAAGTAAAAGTATGAACGTCTGTAAAAAGTAGTTCCAATCGAACCGTCAAAATGTACTGCACAGAAAAAAAAGTTGTTGAATATTACATCCAAACTGCTGCAAACAGGTAAATCCATTGGTTGTGTAATATAACGTTGTACGATGTACAACGATTTTGCGAACAAAATTACATCCATTGATGTAATATTGTATCTAATTTTTGCTATTACATAATTATTTTATACATCAGCTTGAATTTTTTCAGTTTTGTATGACAGTCGTTCATACTTTTACAAGAGAGCTTTAGTGGAAGCAGCGTGATGTGGTGTGGTTTTTTGACGTAGGACTACATGTAACAAATTAAGAAAGATTTTGAACGTTAATCACTCAGCTGCCCCTGGTTCAATTCCAATAATTTTATCACCAATCGATCAGAAATATGGCTACGCATCGATAACAATGCTTGCGAACTAACTAACAAAGCCACCAATTACCTACTAACAAATCCACCAATTACCTACACAGCAAAAAAATAATTTTGATATCACGTCAAAGTGGATGCACTACAATCATGTCGAAAATATGGTGTAATATTACTTGCTATAAAGGACAAAATTATCATTAATTCAATGCATGAACTGACATTACGCTGCTTTTACTGCATTTGTTTATTTATGTGGTCATAAAAATTACATGAAATTTTCGACATGATTGTAGTGCATCCACTTTGATGTGATATCAAAATTATTTTTTTGCTGTGTACACTCGGAAAAAAATCCGTTCCCGAAAACGGGAACGGACCGTGAACTAAAAATCACGGCCAGCTATCCAGAACAAAATTTTCTCAAATACACACCGTGAACTATGGTTCACGGCTGTGGTTCACGAATATGGGAACTCTTTTTTTTTCCCGTGCATGCATATACTGCTTCCCCAGCACAGTTGTCAGAGAGTAGTAAGTAGATGAAACAAGTCGAAGTGGCAGTCGCCTCCGATCCTCGGGCGCGTGAAAATAGGGAGGATGGAATTGCGTAATATTTTGCACCCTCATCGCCATATTCAGAACCAAACGCAAATTCTTCGAGATAACCACCATCCGTCGTCTGACTCGCCGTGACGGTGTCTGACGTATCTCCGGTCTGATTTACGAGGTGTGCTGAAGGTGTTCCTGAAAAATGAGATCCGTGATGCTTTCACCTACACTAAACACGTCAAGCGTAAGCGGCCATGGATGTCATCTACGTTTTGAAGTGACAGAGACGCACTCTGTTTGGTTTCGGAGGTTAAATCATCACCAACTTTGGCAACAAAACGGCTCTTTTCAGGGCCACCAAGCTTATTACAGTAAAGAGTAGGAATAGAATTCATCTGCCTGTTTGTCCATATTCAGAACCAACGACCACACAAAATGAAATCAAACTGGAAGCAGGGTTACAAATTATTTTGATCAACCTTGATCAACTTTGAATCGCCACGGCCGAATATTTTCGATGGAAGAAACAACAATCTAGCATCTAATTCGACGAAGACGGCAGGAAA